GCGTTTTGTCATGCATACGCAATAGCCTCTCAATGCATTCCTATGGGAAAGCTTTGGATTGGCTGAGATTGTCAGTTTTGATGACCTCGGCCAAGAAGGCAGAGCTGGGGCGGAGTCAGTCGCAGCGTAACTGCTAAGTTTATTACCATTTTAATGAGTACCAACGGCCTAATTTGTGTTTCTAACACTATGGTGACAGTGGTGTATGGTGTGCGTGTGTGTCTAATTACATGTATGTGTTTTTCAATGGGTAAGGGGGGTCCTGGTTATGATGATTATGTTTAGGATTTATTTAGCTAAATGTGAATTTGCAAAATTTCAGCAAAATTGTAAATATTTTAGTTCAGCTACTTTGGCTTGAATTTTGCTAATCCGGTCCTCAATTTATCATATGTGGGGTGGGGTCTATTCACTAAATGTCAACTGACAAACAAACATTATTACTGTTGTTTTATCCAAATTAAACAAATTTAGAATTTCACAATAGGCTGGAAGTGTAATAAACGCAAAGGCTTGTTACACTACTTAAACCCCCATACTCACCTTCCTCCGTCCCATACGTGATTATAGCGATTCGCTTGTCGTTACTTCTGGTCGCTCCATTTCTCCACTTACCTAGTCCTCGAGGCTTCTTTGCCTGGCCTGCTGTTCCCCTGCTGCTCGTTTGTCCGCGGTCCTCTTGGGCTCTGCTCCGGATCTCCGGTTGTCCCTGACGCTCCAAACCTCTGTTGTCCGTTCAGGGCAGGCTCCGTTGGCTCGTACCCCTTGCTGTCCGGAGGAGAGTGTCTTGCCCTCCGCGTCGCCCCCCTATCGACCGTGGCTCTTGGGGGGGTCGGCTTTGTTGCGGTGCTGCGCGTCTCTTCCTGGCATTCTTGGCTGTCGGCCAGCTCCAAAGGTATTAGGCCCACGACCCCAATTTATCTTCTACTGCACAAAAAAGGGGTTTGCTTTGGTGATAAACCTACTTAAATACTACATTTGCAAAAGGGTCAAGGTTTATCTTAAAAACAAGTTTTACATTAGACGTATCAGCCTACAGGTATATAATATGCATTCACACCAGGCACGTGGGGGTTTGTTCACTTAACGATGAACTGCAGTGAATTGAGAAACTAATCTGTAAACGTTTAGACTAGAATATCCTTGATGTCAGGGTGACTTTTTCCGGTTAAACTATTTTGCTTTAAATTCAACAAACTCGGATTTTCATTTCATCGCAATTCTCTGTTGACAAACTTTGTGCAGCAGACCAAGCTAAGTGTGCAAATCATGTTATGCACCACAATGCTCTCAAATGTAAAGGAAACCAGAATAAGGACAAGCACTATTTGTGCAAGTGCAAAACTAATAGCAATTATCAATGAGGAAACTGGATGCAGGCATCAATCTGACCACCCAAGTTAAACACAGGCTCTTACAATGACACCTCTTCCCTTTATCTTGAACATTCCCTCACTCCCTGCGACGCTGTCGCACGTGCACATCTGTACTCACTGGCGGCCGGGCGGCCATATGGCCACTCACACACGTGTGTTGTGTGCAGTTTTGGATACGGGTAGGTACCATGGTTATAGGTCGACCTAATCAGGACATTTTTGCATCTGTGTATTTCTGATTCAATAATTTTACTAATGAGTCCGCAGGAGACCCATTCGCCATACTAATGGATTGTTCCTGAGTTACACCTTGCCCTAGAAATCCTCCCAGGGACTTTTAGCTGGGCGACATTATATGTTTTGATTCTAAATGCTATAACTATAGCAGGTGCAGTGTTTTGCCTAGAACCTCTGGAGGTACAGATCTAGTGTGCTTCTACATGGCAACTTCCCCTGGAATAACATAGAGTTAAATCAATAAACTGCAGCTGATTTAGGTTTGTTGTGCCAGGTTTAAAAAAAAAAAAAAGTTCGAGTTTCCTTTTCCTGCTGTGTCAATGCGCGGTCTTAAGCTACGTAGTTGCTGTTGCCAAGCGGTTTTCGGTCCCGTCACGGGGTGTGACCCGCGTATTCACCTCGCGATACATGTGTTAGGGCCTTCTCCTTTGAGGCTCCTTTTCGTGTATACTGTTACTGTCTTTTTGCTAGGTTGTCTGCATTTGGTTTTCGCTTCTTTTGCCACCTCTAACTTGCACCAACTCTATCTATTACAACTTGACATGCTGTTCCAGGTTTACCATTCATACGCAGTTTCATGTCCTCATACCAGTTTAGTACCATACTCAAGACATTTCCGGCTCCCAGGAATTTCAAATCTTGCAGATATCCCATCCGCATCCAATTAGTTCAATCACTATCAGACCTATTAGATGCCTGTCCTTACTAACCAGACACCAGCCTTCAATGTAGGGTAATAACTGCTTGATCCAAGGAGAAGGAATTTTTTCCCCTAGCTTGTTGCAAAATTAGCAGTGCTTCAAACTGGGTTTTTTGCCTTCTTTTGGATCAACCACAAGGAAATGGGCACCTTTTTACTCTCTCTTTCTAATCAAGCCTCACAATCACAGACCTCACTACTTGGGGCCAGTCCTTACACTCGACATACTTGCTATTCTTTGGTGCATTGATCTTGGGGCCAGATTTAATCAGTTCTACTATTCTGGTCACCCATCTAGGATATGCTGGCATCTATGGCTTCAATCTAGTTCACTTTGGTTCGTATATATTTAATCTCTGGGTCAATGGAAGCTCTCAGCATATTCCCCCATATGTACCACGTACCGCCAAGATTTTTCGACCGGCTTTACCATATAGCTAGGCAATTAAGGTTTTCTTATCAGTTGTTGATTGTTCTATGTTTCTGGGATGTATCAATTTTTGCCCTCTTTTATTACAGACCTGCCACGACGTTGGTTCCGGCACACCTCAACCGACTTATTTCCCCCTTTACTATGCTCCTCTTGGTACGCTTCCTATACGGCCTTATTTGCCCCTCACACAAATAAAGGATTTTATAACACGTGAATGTTGCTTTAACCTACCTAACCTTAAGCGATCCTATGTCTGTCTCTAGCCTACCTTTTAACTAAATGGTACCCCACCCAATGCCCCTAAACCCCCCTTCTGTTACCTTAGCATTCTCTGTTTACCTAACAGGTAACTCACCTGCTGCAGGGCTGTAATTTTACTGAGCTATTTTCTCACTGCAACAATGAGCTCCAACTGAAATTAGCAAGAATTCTTTCTGACTGCTAAAGAATTGTCTCGAAGTTAGTAGTAGCAGCAGTGAATCTGAAAACCAAACATGAAATTATATGCAAAAAAAAAGAGCTAATTTTGGAAAATTCCTCCATTTAACATATTGTTTAATTAAGCTTGATTTTTTTTTTCTATAATTACTTAATTTCACTAAAATTTGGTACTTAGCGAATAAGCCCTAGTGTGTTTCTAGTGACATACTTTGTGTAGTTGTAGTTTATGTAAAACTTGCGAAATGAACTCGGTAACCTCACCACCCTGTCTTAGAAAACATACTGTATGTACTCTCTGAGCTTCACATCTGAACGTCTCAGATAACATGCTCGTAGCTATTAGCATTGACGTCACGTAGTGCAAGATATAGGATGGGTTTATTTTCTAAACACTAAATCAGAATCCTTGAATCTAAATTATAACATTTAGGAAAAAAAAATAAGATTAAGATTCCCCCCCTCCACCCCCCCAATTCTGTTTTCAAGTCGCTGCGATTCAGAGTTTAGAGATTACGGTATCTATAGTATAACATGTAAAATCAAATTGCAAAATTCAGGCTAAACTAGTTAACCTACTATTATAGCATTATTTAGAACTTTTTTCTAGATCAGCTTTTGTAGCCTTAATCGCACGTCAGTCTCTAATTCGCTGAGTTTTGGAGTTTAGTTTAAAAAATACTTTGGGGTGGAGGAGAATTGATGAGGTAATGCCAAATTTTATTTGAAAATGGAAACGTTTCAACTGTCTTTTTTTTTTAACCAAGGCTAAATTTTCCCCCAATTCCTTTGACTGGTTTTCTCCAATTCACAGTTTAGGGAAAATAAACCTATTGACATGTTTTTGCTGTATACATTGTGTTTAACTGCCAAAGGATATTCTTCAGGGGCTGCAATATGTTTTTGTTTTAACAGCTGCATTACAGAGTGTGTAGAATATAAACTGTGTACAGCGCTACAGAATCTGATGGCGCTATATAAATAATAATAATTATAATAATATGTAGCTCTGTTTTTTTTTTAAAAAAAAGAAACAAAACCACAAAAATAAAAAAGTGATGTCGTTGTACTGCGTACATTGAAAACAATAGCTTTCGGAATGTTGGGCTCGATAGTCTATGCTGAGATTGATGGTCAAAAAAACTCCAGTATCCCCCAGGTGCCTATTTATGGCAAGGCCTTTAACATAGGGTTATTGTGGCATATTAAAATGTGAATAGCAAAATTAAGGCTACAATAGCCAATCTTTTACCTATACTGAAGAATTTTCCTAGATCATCTAGTTTGGCCTACATTTTGCCATACAGCTTTTGATTCCAGATAAATGCAGTTCAGTGTAGAAAGACGTAGGAGTTTCAGTATATTTTTTGAATGTTCCCAAAACCAACAGACATGATTATTCACTTGAGTGAGAATTCAAAGTGAAATTCAAATTTAAGGCAGAGTAGCTGTGAAGCATAGCAGATTAGGAGAATTTATCTGATCTGATTTTTTTTTTTTTACCTTAAAATTTGAAATTTGCTTTGAATTCTCACTTAGCAGATAATCTTATTTCGAAACTAGGGCCTGCTATATAACATAAGTGTACAAAGCAAGAAATTATCGCTCCACCACGGTTTGTATTACAGCAGGTATTGAGAGCCATGGGACACCGCTTTAACCCTTTCAATGTCAACATGCACACATTTAGAAAAACATTCACAAACATTTTTGTTTTGAAATCCCTTCTCCCAAATCGTTCCTTCCCAAAGGATGATTCATGGCACCAACCTTAAAAACGTTACAAAATATTTTTGCAATAAAAGATAGACCAAAGTAAGGTATAAAAGTCATATATTTTACTTTTTGAAGATATTGCAATAATCTGTACATTTTTTTCAAAACAAAGTTACAAAACAAAAAATATATATAGAACACTGTACATGCATAGTTACGAAACAATTACTTTTATCTCTCCAAAATGGAGACATACGTATAACATCTATTAACGGTTTTTGTAGCCAGTATTATGGCTTAACATTGGAATATTCCAACACGTTATATAAATATATAACTTATTTTTTTGTTTGTTTTTCATTTTTTTGTTTAAGCTTTGTTACATTTTTGCTGTACATAATGGTGTTATATTAATAAAAATAAAACAGTGCAAAAAAACAATAAACATGATTACACATTATGAAATGCTCCATACATCACTTGTGCATGTCTATTGGCTCTTATTAAGTTGCAAATTTAAGATATTTAAGTTAACATTCACAGCACAAAAACAGGAAAAAAAAAATGGTGGATTGCTCTGTTAGCTCAACCCTTAAAGAAAAATTTAAAAAAAAATTCTGCTTCCCCTCAAAAAAGTAATGTGTAAAAAAAAAAAATTTAAAAAAAAAATGCTACAGATATCCAATATATGGATCAAGAGTTTGTGGCGTCAGTTTTTTTGTTTTATTAACCCATGCGTAATATTTAGAAAGTCCTCATCCCAGACGGTGCATCAACCTCCACAACCGTAACAGGAGCCCTCATTCTCTCCGCCAGAACGTTGTCGACTAGCTCCAAGCACATAATGAAAAAAAAAAAAATACGAAAACAAAGTCTCTTTTCCTTCACTCCTTTGGGAGGTGGGCAACGGAGATCGACGCTTGTCTTCTGGCTGCTTTATATATTCCCCTGATCAGTCAAAAAAAATGCAGATCTAAAAAATTAAATAAAAAAAAAAAAAAATATTTAGTAAAAACAAGTCACGATTAAACTATATAATGCAGAAGTCAGAGAAACACAGGTAACGTAAATAAAATTGGAAGAAGAAAAAAAAAGAGAGAAGAAAGTGCTGCTGCATAGCAGAAACAAGCTTTTTCTCTTTTTTTAAGCCCCGCAGCACTCAGCCATTTGCAAACCCTGCCCTTGTTTATTCACTAGGCAAGCAGTCAGTCTCTCTCTCTTTCAAGCTTAAGCTCCCATCCCCCACCTTCTTCCCTTCTTGTAACCTCCTTTCCCGCCAGTACAGCTTGTTTTGCAAATTTTTTCTTTTTTTTTTTTTTTTAATCTTTTTTTTTTCAGAACTTTCCAAGGAGGAGCTTGAAGCGATTGAGTAACACTCCGTGGAAAAAAGCAGAATCATGTGCAGTCAACAACTCCACTTTCTACAACCAAAACAACTCTTGCAGGACAACTCTGCACTTTTTTTTTTTTTTTTAAAGACCCTTCTCCACCCAACCTCCTAAAAGCAAATGTCCTTAACTCACTCTTGTGGTTTATTATACATAGTGTTGATAGATTATTTTACCCAAAAAATGTTGAAAAAAAATATTTGAAAAATTCTAAAAAAAAAATTTTAATAAAAATAACAAAACATTTGTAAAAAAATAATAATAATAACAATAAAATAAAAATAAAGCACAATATTCCATCCACTCTGAAATACTCACCAAAGATTCATCTGATTTTTTTTCTGGGGGTCTGCTCCAAAGTGCAAAATGGGTGGGTACCCTTCAGACTGTCACTCTTTGCAACTGATGTTACTCTTCTTCTTTTGGGGAAATAATCTGCGGAAAAAAAAGTTAAAGAATATTATTAAACTAGAAAAAAAACAACTCACAAACAAAAAATATATACACACACACGTTTTGTTTTTTCTTTAGAAAACATTTAAACATTTAAACCAAGAACCCCATTATAGGCAAAAAAAACATTAAACCAAAAGGGGGGTAGGGGGTGCCAACAATTAATTTACAAAAAAAAAGTGGCAGATTTTCATGACATCCCAATTTAAAGCAGTTGCTTCCACTATGACTGTCCTGGCATTGCACATTTAAGTACAACCTGCTCATTCTCAATTGTCCAAATGACACTTTTAAAAACAAAAGAGACTGGCATGACAGTGTGCCCTCTAAGGTGTCTGTGGCAGGGATGTGAGTTATTCCTTAAAGCAGGGATCTTACCTGTTATGGTAGTGCTGACCTCCCTCTTCCTAAGCTGGGAAGTGATGTGAGTAGAGGATTTGGTCGGTACTTTAACTCCCTGACACCTCCTGATTGCCAGCTCTGCGTTCTCCTTTGCGCAATCTGTGCCCCCAAGGGTGAGCAGCACTGCTTCCACTGGTGCCTCCTCCTTGCCCTCTGTTGGCACAGGAATTCTGCTGTTTACAGTGGGCTGCTGGGTTTGCCTGGGCACCTGTGCTGTGCTGACAGGGGACAGTCTGCTTTCCCTGTAGACGGTGGGCATTGATTTGCTTTCTAGGGGCTCCCAGGAGAAGGCACCCTTCAATGGTGTGCCAGCTTCAAAATCAAAGTTCCAACGCTGACAATCTGATGTTTGGATCTCCTTGAGCTGCCTCTGCAGTTCAGATCTCAGCTCGTCGTGGTCTATGGGTCCAAACAAGCTCCTGCATGTCCCCCTGGTACTGCCACCTCCAAACAGAGCTCCCCTGGGCAGCGCTGGCCCCATGTCCTCCGGCTGGGCTAAGTTAAATGTGGCCATTGCCTTTGCCTCTGTGGCTGTGTGCTGTTGTTGTTATTGGGGCTTGGGGCTGAGTTGTCTCTGGATAAGTCTGGGCAGGGTTTGGGAAGCTTATATAGAAAGGGAGCAGAAATGGAGCTACAGAGGGAGGGGGGAGAACAGTTAGGAGGAGACAGACAAAAAGTGGGAGGGGGGACTTCATTTCAACTGGATAGAGGACAAAAAAAATACACAGTGTGACATACCAGGTTACAAAACTGGGGAGGGAGGACAGTTTGGCAAACCCTTCTTTATTTTACCTATTTAGCCTAAAATAAAAAATAGGGGTGGAGATACAGATCAGGTTGGAATAAAACATTTTTTTTTATTTTTTAGCCATGTTCCCCCCCCCCCTCCCCCCCCACTTCATTCACTGCTGACAGAGGTGGGGTTGTAGGCTAGAGTTTTAACATTATTTTGGGGGCTAGGGAGGGGTCTGGGACAGTAATATTGACTCCCCCCCACCCCCACCCCCCCCACTTCATTCACTGCTGACAGAGGTGGGGTTGTAGGCTAGAGTTGTAACATTATTTTGGGGGCTAGGGAGGGGTCTGGGACAGTAATATTGACTCCCCCCCCCACCCCCCACTTCATTCACTGCTGACAGAGCTGGGGTTGTAGGCTAGAGTTGTAACATTATTTTGGGGGCTAGGGAGGCGTCTGGGACAGTAATATTGACTTACAAAATAAGCTGTGACTGTCAGTGCAGTGTATGGAGGGGTTTCCCCCTCTTCTGATATTAATATATTAATCTTAATTATTCTTTTATACCATGGGAGTTCTCTGTTACCCTCCCTCCCCCAGATTCTATGCTTTATGGATAACTACGACGGACCGCATTCTGTGAATTGTACAAGGATTGCTATGACAACAAAGAAAAAGGCAGATATTACTACCCTATCCGCCCCTAACGGACAATAACAGAACGTGGTGTAACGCAGACTTGTTACAATGTATTGCATTCTATCGCACGGCGCCACGGAGCTTGCTGGCGCTATGCAAGTTGTAGTGTAATAATTATAAATCTGGGGTAAGGTCAGGTGTTTGCAAACACATACAAAAATCAGTGGGTATAAAAACTACTCTAGTAAAAAAAAAAAAAAATCACAATTAGAACTTTTCAGTCCTTAATTAATGCTCCTTTGACAGCCATCATTTTATTTTAACCCCAGATTACAGTCAGTTGCTGTGGTGGTATTCGAGGAGGCTACCCACCCATCTGATGTATTTATAGCATACTATGTTGGGCTCTCAGTACCAAAAAGGGGCTTATTCAATCAAGGCTTAACCCCTCGTCTGCCAGACAAGTGTCCCTTGTCACATCCCTTTATCCCTAGAAGGGGAGGGGTTAAAAGACTTGGCTTACCAGTTCTTGCTATTCCTCCCCCCTCCCTCTACCCTCTCCATCTTTTTCTCTATATATTCGATAAACTATGGTTTATAATAATTGGATCACCAAGGTTCAGTTAACTAATAAACAGTTAATTCCTTATACCTAGTGTCTTTAAATTGCTACAGTCCTGTCCCCCCTTATAGAGAACCATACATGTACATCCAATTAGTGTGTGCCTTACTGAAAAAAATACCGTAAAAACAATTTACATTGCATCAATTGGTAATAAATGTGGAATAGTTATTATAATACAAAATTAGACTATAATAAAAAATATATTACTCACAAAGTTGCAACTATGCAAACTCTTATGAAAAAAATTGCAAAAGTCACTGGAAATGTACAGTTAGGTCAAATTCAACACTTCACCTTTGACGTATAAAGAGGAATATTTGGGAAAGAAGTGTAACTTTTTATTTCAACCTTATTATTTGATAGAGAACAATTCAAGGGGCTTATTTACTAAACAGCAACACAATTAGAAAAAGCAAATCCAGACGGTCTGAAAACCAATTCATTTGTTTAATTAATTAGATGATATTTTTCCAGTTCTGCTTTTTTGGCCTACGTTTCAGTGCGACAAAATAGCAGAAATGTAGAAATTTACTAAATACAGTTATTTCTAATGAAAACTGGTTTGCGTAATAAAGGCTAAAAGGGGAGGATTGTAAAGAAATGTCCGGCCTATTTACAGACACAGCTTGTCTATTTAAGCCTGAATTCTGCATTTCTATTACTTTCATTATGCTATATATATATATATTACTTGGTAAGTCACTTAGGGTTATTCACTAAATTGTGAATTGTTGGGAATTTAAAGTTAATTTAACATTTTAGGCCAAAACCACACAACTAAAATCATGGAGAGATTTTCATATTTGGTTCTTTTTGCCTAAAATTTGAGAGTCACTTTGAACTCCTAACAATTCGCCCTGATTTTTAAACCCAGCGGCTGTGTACTGGAACACACAATTATGTTTGTTCATTTGAACTCCTTGACCCAAGGATTGAAAACAGCTCTGGATTTATGAAAATTACTGCTTAAACACAGGTGGATCAATCAAATTGATTGAACCAGTTTAAGTCACCAGTGGTCCAGCGGCGTTATCCAGAAACTGCTTTCCATTTTCTGCCCTTCGGCAATTTAATATTGAACTAAACAGTAAGCTCGTTTAAGCACAGCTGTCTTCTCCTCCAGCACCTGTAAGTGAATCAGTGCTGTTACATGTATATTTCTTACATCCATTGTACAGCACTACTGAATATGTTGGCGCTTTAAACATAATAAACAGAACTAAATTTAACGCTGTTCTGTCCGCGCTGTTATAGAAACACTAGAACAGGGGTAGCCAACATTATAGACTACATCTACCCTAATGCTTTGCCAGCATTATGGCTGTAAGAGAATTATAGGAGATGCAGTCCACAACATCTGGAATGCCGAAGGTTGCCTACCCCTGCACTAGTATAAGAATCCAATTTTGAGAACACAAGGAAAAAATTCAGTCACTAGCCACAAAAATTATGCTTCTCTAGAACCTGTTAGACAAAGAAGAATGTGAATTTTGATTGTCTAGATTACATTTTGATCACGGTTTCCATACACATGTAATGTTTTCCAAAACATGCTGATAATATTATATAACAGGTTACAGGCTGTTGCTGAACCTCAATGTCACAGGAATGAAACATCCTAATCTGCTATTGAATGTGGCCCTCCTTTAGTGACCGGAGGATTGTGTAGAATTGATACACAATAAGCTGTGAATTGGCACAGGGGCAGCATGGATCAGATCGTGATGACAACATAAAAGGTCTTTGGGGTTAAGCTTTGCCAGTGATTCAAGCAGACAAGGCAGTTGACAAGATCATTAAGACATCAAGCCGTGCTTTTAATCTATATAACTGCATGCATGTATGTATATAGTGCAGAGCAACAGCTATCCCTGCAGTAAGATACAACAAAAAAACAGATTATGATAATGATGGTACTTTACAATATAAATCCAAAATTGACCAGGAATTTGGGAATTTATGACAAAATAGCAGTTTGGAGAAAGAGAATGTTTTCAGTGTGTATATCTTATCCTAAAATTTTAAATTCTCTTTTCAGTTCTCAAACAGGTCCCAGTTTATAAACGATTTAATCATTTATTTTATTTAGTAGTTCCTTTATAGCGTTATCCAAAGCGCTTTACAATTTATGCAAAAATAACATCGGTAGTTATAGAAGCAGAGAATAAATGTATAGACACAACGAACATACACGCACACTCACATATACAGATACATACACATATATGAAGATCACTTTTCAAAACATAAAAGTCACATACATGTAACATCAGAGTATCAAGAATTAATTGTATAACCGCCAGGAAAGTCTTTGTTACAATTCTACAAATTCAGCCGCTTTTTAAAATAGTTTTTCGCTCACCAGTTCATGCCGTTGTTTGTCAATGTCAACATTTTTAATACACTTTGAAGTTTGCTCACTAAACCAAACATTTTAGAGAATTTAGAAAAATAATATTTTTTTTTATATTATTGTTTTTTATCAGTATTTTAAAAACAGCAGAGAATAACCATCAAAAAGTAGAAAAAACAAGATATTGCAAATTATAGGCCCCTATTTCTGAGATGGGGAATATCCGTTTTTGGGCCTAAAATTAGATTTATTTTTAAATTTCCTGCTACAGTTCTCAGTTTAGTGATTACATGTATTTGGTAACACACACACAACCTCCTCTCTTCTGAGCCCTTGTCTACTCTCATAATTTTCATGGTTTTATTTTTACACACCTGTAATCTTTATTTATAATCAATATTCCATTTACTGAACATGTCGGCATACTTTATAACTGCGTGTTTTTTTAAGATTGGGGTTTTAGAGTTAGTTTGCTCCTTAACAAAATAATTCATTGCTCCTATAAGGATTAATGAGCGCAATAAAACCAGGGGAATAAAAAAAGAATAGAAATAGCGGTAATTTCGTGAAAGTAGTCTCTATGTATGCGCATATATAAATGTATTTCACCGTTTGGCTGTGCCTCCGTATGGCTTATTCACTAAACTCTGAATTTTAACAACTTAAACCTGAATGTCATAATGTAGGCAAAATAAGTAGATTTGGAAAAATTCTCTATTTGAGATATAATCAAAGCTCGTCTAATTTAGTCTTACAGGGTTATTCGCTAAAGTGAGAATTTGATGCAGCGCTCCGGAATATGTTGGCGCTTTATAAATGTGAATAATAATAAATACGTGAATTCAAATTGAATTTTAAATTTAAGGCCAAAGTAGCTGAACCAGAAACATAGGTGACTTAGAGAATGTTTCCATTTTGGCTACTTTTACTTTAACGGTGAAATACACTTTGAATTCACTTGAAATTCTAATTTTACTGAATAATCTGTTTTGCAGTTCAGATTTAATTTAATAAGATGGAGATGTTTAGTGAATTGTAGCGATTTGGAAACTGAATTTATAAATCCAGCCAAACACTGTGTGCCTATAAATGAGTTGGAGAATGCATTTTTCAAACTGGGCATTTTTGCTTTCCCACTTGCTACATTTCAGCGTTTAGTGAATAAGCCCCCACATTTAATTTAGGCACCACTTTTTTTTTTTGGATCAGTAGGGGAGGATGGGAGCGTGGGCCTGCGGTGTGTGCTTGCAGTCTTACAGAGAGCAGCACGTTCCTGAAGCTTACTGCGTGTGTATAGGGTGGAGATTTGGGAATAAAGAGGTTT